GCAGTGGGACTCGAACTTGGTACCCCCTGATTCGAAGTCCAGCACTCTATCCACTGAGCCACAGCCACCCATTTCTTTTTATACTCTACTAAAATGCAACAAAAAAAGGGTTTGATTCTATTAATTTTGTCTTTTTTATGGCACTTTGGCAGCAGATTCCTGTGTAGCTTCAGATCTGAGTTGTCTTATTAGTAAGCCTAANCATGTAAGAAGTAGAAAGTACAGGTATTTGTGTTCAACATGTAAGAAGTAGAAAGTACAGGTATTTGAGTTCAACATGTAAGAAGTAGAAAGTAGAGGTATTTGGGTTCAAAATGTAAGAAGTAGAAAGTACAGGTATTTGTGTTCAACATGTAAGAAGTAGAAAGTACAGGTATTTGGGTTCAACATGTGAGAAGTAGAAAGTACAGGTATTTGTGTTCAACATGTAAGAAGTAGAAAGTACAGGTATTTGTGTTCAACATGTAAGAAGTAGAAAGTACAGGTATTTGTGTTCAACATGTAAGAAGTAGAAAGTACAGGGTATTTGTGTTCAACATGTAAGAAGTAGAAAGTACAGGTATTTGTGTTCAACATGTAAGAAGTAGAAAGTAAAGGTATTTGTGTTCAACATGTAAGGAGTAGAAAGTACAGGTATTTGTGTTCAAAATATAAGAAGTCAAAGTAAAAAGTCTTCAGTAACATGTACTTAAGTACCGTAAGGAAGTATTTGTACTCCACTACTTCCCACCTCTGGATAAAGGGTTAATAACTCTTGTGAAATAGAGGACTTTTGTTAATTGAACATGGTTTTGATTAGGGTCCGAGCGGCAAAAAAGGTCAGGTTGTTGTTCACACTAAAGGATCAGAGTTTTGAATGTCTTAAGTCCGAAATGCCCTTTCTTTGGCATGAAAACATGGTGAAAATGTTATATGCAATATATGCAAAGACAACACCTAGAAGGCAGGCCCTATAGTATTTGTATAATTTTCCTACAAATCTGAAGTTTGGTGGCTTTATGTAACCCAAACATATTGAAGTGAGACCATTAAACCAACAGGAAGTAGTTCTTTTGACCATTCGATGCTGCTGTATTTGAACAAACTCTTAAAATCTCAAGACTTTAAGGATCAAACATCGTTAAAGTCTTTATTGTTAAAAAAGATCCTTACGCCGTAAAACAGGAAGTCAATTTAACTCGAGGATACGATACAAATAGTGCAGTTTATATTAGATTTAGATGACGTAAGAATAGATGTACTCTACTGATCCCAAATTGCACATTAAAGCAGTAAAGTGTCTGCAGAATGGTTTATACAAAATGAAATATACAGAATAAGTTGAATATCGATCCAGTTTCAGTCCTGCTGTAGCTCAAGGACACAAACACTTCTCTTCTCTTTTCTTTGATGTCTTTTAAGGCCATAAAATCCCAGCATATAAGCTTTTTGACCGCACTGCACGGTCAGAGAGAAACCTCACCCCTAGAATATCGAACGGTCACCTCTGAGGTTGTTTTTTAACGAGCTCCACACCTCCACATCTCTCCATTTCCTCCTCCTGAAGCTCGGCTCTAATGCTCCACTAATTCCTGCTGGCTTTTAAAACCACCAGAGACACACCGGCCTGTTTACGGTTTCATTTCAGACTTAATTATCCTCACGGTAAACAACACTTAGGTACAACTCTGCAGACAAATAAATACTGTCTGTCAAGGAGACGTCTGTCCACCATCTGAAAAACCTTCATTCTGCACGGTTCCTCCATTTTTATATTACTGAGGTAAGTTGAGGGGGTTCCACACATTTCCGAAAAGCATGTACGGATATGCTGTTTAGAATAAGAGAGGGGACATATGGTTATGTAGAAAAGACATGAAAAAGTGGATTTAGCTTAAAGGTGACCTTCAAATGGTTCCCAGGTTGAACAAACCCAGCCCCAACATGGAACTAGACAGAGAGGGCAAAAGTACACACATCCTTTACTCAAGTAGAAGTACAGATACTTGTGTTTAAAAATACTCTGGTGAAAGTAGAAGTACTGACTAAACTTCTTTACTCAAGTCAAAGTAAAGACTTTGAAATGTACTTCAGTAAAAAGTACCCATAACTAGCAG